AACAGTATGTTAGCCTTCTTCCTAGTGCAGCTGTTTTAAGTTGTTATTGTTAAGGTGCCGATTCTAAGGACAGGCAGACCTACCAATTAACTCTATTTGGAAAAACTGTTTTGAACGTAAAGTGGGGGCAGCTGATATTTGAAAGGGAAAAAGAGTATATTTTGACACCTTAACTGGGGGAAATTTAGCCTAAGAGATTCTGGGAACTCCTGTATGCGGTTCGTATTTGCAGACCTCTACGTGAAGCCACATTCCTCGTTGTGACTTATGGCCTATGCTTCCTGAAAACTGCGCTATAGATCACAGGTAGTTTGAGTTAGTGTTTTTATTATTTTGTTGTACTCTCTGATGTGTTTTGTTGCTGGATTTTGTATTTCTCTCTTTTGACCATTGTTTTAAATAAATACTTTCTTTTAAAACTTAAGTTGGCGCATGTGTGCTCAAGTCTCCTGTTAACCCACAAGAAAGCCTAGCTATCGTGACAGGGCAGCATGAAGGAAGTCAGGGCATGGCCGTGGGCTCCTGGGGCCCCGGAGGCTGCCCAGCAAGGCTGACCCCTGACACCGTCCCAGATGGGTAAAAGAGTGGCAAATTATTAAGCATTAATTCTGCAACCAGTTTTCACCTCAGAATCCAAGCCACCACTGACTTGCCCCCAAAGTGATAAATATAAGTGATAAAACCATCAGACACCCCACCGCCTGCTTTAATTTCTGTGGGAGGCGGGCACGGCCCATCCACCTGATTTGTAAAGACCAAAAGCCAAAGCCAGACTTGCATAGATACAAATTATATACATTTATTTTTTAAATTTTATTTTAAATAACATTCTTCCGTAAAAATTCCAACATATATTCTGATCATACGCCTTTTTATTTTTCAAACAAATGCATTTCAAAAGCTCAACATATGCTCGGGACTGTGGTGTAAAATATAACTGATTTGGAGGAATGCAATTTAGCTTCAAGTTGTAAGCCCCTGTTGATGTTATATGAATTAGAGACGTCAGTGGCTTTAAATTTAGAATATAACATTAAAACAGATTCTCCGCCCCCCAAGCTTCATTCTCAGATTATCTTTTTTTCACGACCAAAAATAATAATCATCTGTGCTACATGTTATAGCCCCTGGGCATGTCTGTGGAATAATGATACAGGATAAGGAGGCCTCCTTTGG